TTTAAGACAGGTTTTCACCATTTAGCCTTGGGTGACAAGGCTGGTCTTGAATTCAAGAGTTCCTCCTGCCTCGGCCTCCCAAGTGTTGAGATTAAAGGCATACACAACCACACCTGACCAAATTAAAATTAATTCTGACAAATTATTCTGAAAACTTATAAAGGAGGGAGCATTTCTATAGTATGAGGTCAGTATTAACCTGATACCAAAACCAAACAGACACAACAATACAACTATAGGTCGTGGTGCTACAAAAGTCCTTAAAAACAAAACAAAATCATAACAAACAACAACAAAAAGCTTAACAGGGGTCAACAAGATAGCTTGCAAGCAGGAGGATATGTGTTTGAGCCCATGTGAGACGGCGTACATTTATAATCCCAACACTAGGGGGCAGAGACTAGTGGATGCTTGGGCCTTACTGGCCAGTCAGCCAAGCCTATTTGGAGAGTTCTAGGATATCAAGAGACTCTGACTCAAAAAACAAGATGGATGATGCCAGAGGAATGATCCTCAAGACTGTCCTCTGGCCTCCACACCAGTGTGCACATGTGTACAGATTGGCACTCATGCATATGTATATACACATAGTTGAACACACACATACACACACCAGTGAAACACACATTTCAAGATGAAGAAAAACCACAATGATTTCAAGTGATACAGAAAAAGCGTTTCACAAATTCAATATCCTGTCATGATAAACACTCAATAAATTAAAAATAGAAGGAAAGTCAACAACACAAAAGCCATATATGAAAAGTCCACATTATACTCAGTATATTATTATACAAAGCCTTTTCTTTAAAGCCAAGACAAGAATGCCCATTTTCATCACTAATATTCAATGCACTACTAGAAATTCTAACCATCAGGCAAGAAGAGGAAGTGAGAGGTATCCAAACAGAAAGGAAGAGGTAAAATTATCTGTTGTGTTTGCTCATGCTAATGAACAATGATCCTTAAGTGGAAACTAAGAAAATAATTCAATTTATAATAACACCACAAAGAATTAAAACACTTAGAAATAAATTCAACCAAAAACTCACTTTCTGCTTAAAGACCAGAATATTTGTAGTTGTTAAAACTCAGTACTATCTCAAATGGCAGCTTTAACACAACGTTAAAAAACCATTGATAGCTACAAACAGAAAAGCCATCCTAGAATTCAGGACAGCAAATCAATATTGAAAAGTGGAGGGGATTAGGAAGATGGTTCTTCAGGTAAATGTCTGCAGTGCAAGCAGGATGATCAGAGCTCAGGCAGAAGAGCCTACTCCCAGCAGTCATCCTGACTTCCAAATGTAGCTGTGGCATATGCCTGCACACATTCATACGCACTGTTTGCCTTAATTTCAAAGAACCCCAAACAACCAAAACATTTAAAATGAGTACATCATATTATTTCAGAATTTACTATAAAGCTCCAGTAGCCAAACTAGTGTCATGGGTTTAGAAAGATTAAAACAAACAAAAGGAATGGAGCAAAATACAGAAATAAACCCTTATACACACAGTCAAATCAGTTTTGAGAAGGGATCCAAGACCATCAACGAGGGACAGTCTTTTTAACAAATGTAAGGAAATCTATATTCATAAGAATAAAAGCAGACCCTTTCATAATATACAATTATCTCAAAAATGAATCAGACTTTTTTACACTGTCCTTACAAAAAGCTATGTAACTCATTTGGTGATACCAACAGCACAGGAAATAAGTTAGATCAAAATTAAAATTACTTTTGTACCAAAGAACACAATCAAGAGTCAAAAGGAAGACAGATTGTAAATCATGCATCTGACAAGTCATTAATACCCGTACATACAAACAGGCTGGTGAGATAATTCAGTGGTCAAAGTGCTTGCTACAAGTCTTGCAACCTGTTCCATCTTTAGAGTCCATGTAAGAGTGCAAAGCAAGAACCCCCTAAAACTATGTGTACCATTGTAAATGTGCCCCACAATAAATTAAGAAGTGGGTTCCTAGAACAGACTAATCAGAGGCAGAAGGCAGAGTGAAGCTGTCAAGAGCTGGTGGAGGCAGCTAAGGGTTTTGTCTGCTCTGAGGCATGGTTATACCGTCTTAGAGCTCACTACACAGACTAAGATGGCTTCAAACTCAGATCCTATGGCACTGCCATGCCCAGCCTACAGCTAAATTTTGTTAAGATAAAGATTTCTAGAGATGACTTTCACAACAATGTGAACCCAGCCGATGCACCTAAACTCTACAGTTAGAAGTGGTTAAGGTATAAATCTTTTGCAAAAATCAAAGTATTTTACAAAAAAAACAAAAAGCAAAAAAAAACCTGAGTGACTATGCAACATTCCATACAAGAGGTCAAAGTTACCATGGCCAATCCTGAGACAAACTGTCTCAAGTGGCCCAGACTGGCTTTGTACTATGTAGTCAGGCCAGGGTGACAAAGTGACAGGCTAGGTGTCTGTGGTGCTGGTGATGGAACCCAGGCTTAATGCAAGCCAGGCAAGCACTCTACCAACAGAGCTGCATTATCCAGTCCCTAAGACAAATTCAGTAGATACGAACTGAGAAGGCAACAGGTCAGGCTTGGGATGCCCCTCAAAAAGACCAAGATAACTTAAAAAGAAACATTTTCTCTTTAAATAGTGTAGAAACCCCCATTCTCTTCAACTCCAGGGCATGGCTTTATCACTTGCTTATTTATCTTATACGACACTGTGGTAAGTGGAGCTCATCTGAAGACACCAAGCTTCCAGTAATTCTTAAAAACATGTTTTCCATGTCTAGAATTGTTTCGTGGTTCATTAGATGCTGTTTATCGCTTTTAGTTAATGGAATCAAAACAATGCTGGGGTGGTCTGCCTCCACCTCGTGCTGAGCTGCTCTGTGGCATCTTCCTGCCTCACAGTCCACCTGGTGTGTGGGGAGAGCATACTCATGGGCTTCCACAGGCTTTCTTCCCCCCAATTTGGTTTTTCGAGACAAGGTCTGTGTAGCCCCAGCTGTCCTGGAACTCTCTATGTAGATCAGTGCTGGGATTAAAGGTGTGAACCACCAGGTCTGGCTTTAAGATTTATTTTTACTTTTTGGTTGTGAGCCTAGCCTTTAACTGCTGAGCCATGTATGTGCAGGTGCAGAGGCCAGAAGAGGGTGCTGGAATTACAGGCAATTGTGAGCTGCCCAACATGGGTGTTGGGAACAGGACCCCTGCAAGAACAGCATGTGCTCTTTACCACCGAGTCCTTTCTTCCAGACCCCCTTTTTATTTGGTGGTGGTGGTGGTGAGGAGTTCAAGACAAGGTTTCTCTATACAGCTTTGGCCATCCTAGAACTCACTCTGTAGACCAGGCTGGCCTTGAACTCAGAGATCCACCTGCCTCTGCCTCCCAGTGCTGGAATTAAAGGTGTGTATCACCACACCCAGCTTGAAAGGTTCATACAGTTTTAGTCCATGAAGTCCATGTTCCTTCAACTCTCCAAAAGGCCATTGTGGCCAATAATACTTGGTTTTAAAAATCAAGGCCTCAGTTTGTATCAGAAAAGGATTTTTGTAATTAATGGATTACTGATAGAACTTTTTTGATCTACAGAAATCTTTCATGATTTCTAAGGATTCTCAAAATCGAACATGAAACTAAATTGTGTCTCTCCCTTCCCTACTTGTCCAGTTGCTATATGTAACTGAGTAGCTTTCAATTACATTTGTATTTCCTTTAAGAGTTTAACCTTTTCTCTTCACAGCTTAATTTCCCAGACTAAAGAAAAAAAGTCCTAACAAGAGAAACAAAAAGTAAGTTTGTTATATTTCAACCCCAACTGGGATAGCATAATCTTTATTTGAACAGGATCTTGTTAAGTACAAGTAGCAGGCTGTTGGGAACTCGTGATGCTCTGCCTCCACTTCCAGAGTGCTGAGATTAGAGGCATACACAATGGTGTGCAATTCAATTCTGATACCAAATGCTCAGCGTTAGTGTAAGAATAGGCAGTTCTAGGGATCACCCTTCTTCCACAAGACTGCCCCAACTTCAGACATGGGCTGCAAGTGCTATCTTCAAACCATCAACATTCCAGGGTGGTTGTAAAGTGGGAAGTTTCCAAGAACTTCTTGGTTTAAAATTTTGCTGAATGACTCACAGAACTCAGAAAAGCACGGTCTTTCAGTAAAACATTACAGTTGACTGATCTCATTAGAAAAGATTCAAATTAGGCCAACCAGGTGAGTGGAACTTCAGGAATGGTCTAGTGGCTAATGCAGAACTTCTGTGCCTTTGTTCTCCTGGCACATCAACAAAAGTGCAGTGTCCAGAGTATTTAAGAGTCTTGCCATGTAATCCAAGCAAGCCTCAAGATTCACGATCCTCATTTCGACATCAGTCTCCCAAATACTGGGATTACAGGTATGCGTGGCACCTGTCTTGTTCAGAGGTCTTTACTGAGGCCTCACGACAAAGGCATGACTGATTAATCAAACATGCAATGCGACTAGCCCAAGCATATCTTGAGCGACCAGCCTCCAACCAAGAGCAATCTCCAGGGCCTACAATGAGCCCAAATCAAGAGTGTAACAAAGAAACTTCAGGAATCTTAAGGGTTGAGATACTCCTTGTTAGGAGCCAGGGACTAAGCCCAGGCAAACTCCGTATTATATCACACACAAATAGCAAAAAGGACTTTTTTGTCCTCACAGAGTATTATCTCTAAGACAATGACGAGACAACCCCCCAAAACCAGGATGAAATTTTATTACGTACAGTTTATGGAAGCAGTAGTACTCTTCTGTACAAAGCAGACAACAACTGGTCATAAATACAACGGAGAGAAATGTGAGTCCTACGACAACAGGTGATACAAGTGGAACCATTTAGAGACACAAAAACATTTAAAAGTATCTTCTTTCTCAAGACAGTCCATTGTGCATGTTTTAGAGGGGATGCGTCCCAGACAAGGTCACAAAGGCATTTTATTGCCCTCGATGCTGATTTTCACTGCATGTGCAGATCTGCTTTTTTTCCTGATATCTGTGAACTTTCTCATCTGTTTATCCAGGCGACTGATACCTTTCTTGGAGGTTGCCTGAAACTAAGATTGGGGAAAATTGAAGAACAAATCATTGAAATATGTAAATCTAGCAGTCAGAAGAGCTTGAAGCTTAATAATAACCAGAATATACCAGAATGACCACAAGGACAGAGCAAGTGTTAGAAAACATTATAGACTTCTCAGTGACGAGACAGCTGGTTATTGTTTTGTTACAGACCATAGAAACTTCCTAGATGACAGAAGGGGGACATACAGAAACTATAAGCTTCCCAATTTCATCACAGACATCTGACTATATGGGGCTAACTACTTGACATACAATTTCAAACAGTGCTGGTACTAAAAAACACAAAACAATGAAAAGCCATTAGACTTTTAAACATAACCAACTAAAATTCTAGAATCAGCCTTGGGTGAGTCTCTGCTCTGCTTCAGCAGGATCCAGAATTCTATTAAACTATACCTGGTGGTCACTACTACTACTAGGATATCTCCCACTTGCTTTTACAGTTAAAGGTTCGTCTTTTTTGTTATTGTTTTACTTTGTTAAAACCAAGTATTTAAAGAATATCTTTAGTAATGCATGTCTTATAAAGATGTGGTTCCCAAGGAACTGACAGCTTTTATAAAATAAATCTGGAAAAGTCTGTCACTGATGTCAAAGACCAATGTGAGTTCTTGCTGACTGCAGCTAAGAATTCAGAAACTGAGAATAGTGAGTGTGGTGGTTGGAATGAGAGTGACACCCAGACTTCCATGTACTTGAATGCTTGCTCACCAGGAAGTGAAACTGTTTGAAGAGATTATAAGGACTAGGAGGCGTGGCCTTATTGGAGGAAGTGTGTCACTGCAGGTGGGTTCTGAGGTTTCAAAAGCTCATGCCAGGTCAAGTTTTTCTCTCATTCTGCCTCAGGCTATAACTCTCAACTATGTTTTAGAGATGGGGACACATCCCAGGCAAGGTCACAATGGCATTTTATTGCCCTCAATGCTGATTTTCAGTGCCAGGAATGCCACCATGCCACCCCTATGATGATAAAAAACCTGACTAACCCTCTGAAACTGTAGCAAGCCCCTAATTAATAGCCTTCTTTTCAAGAGTTGCCTGGGTCATTTTATCTCTTCACAAAAGAACAGCAACTAAAATAATGAGTGACCTTCCCTGCTGGCTAAATTACTATGTAGACTGTGCTGGGGTACAGAGCAGTGAGGAAGGAGGAGAAATAGTCATCAATAGTACTACCCAGCAGTAAACACTACCATACTGACTTGCCAAGCAAGATGTATGCACTGGTGCAATATTGGTATGACTATTATGGAGATAATAAACCACTTTCCATGTGAGGCTTGGTCTACAGAAGAGAATTCATGACTGGTACTGTAAACCTGACCAAAATCCACAGCTTAGGAGGCCTCAGGAGGGGAATCTACTACTATTGTATTGCTATGCTGTCATGTTGTCAAAGTGCCTTCAAACATCCATGGTGATACTCATAACATTAGTCCTGCTCTCAGTCTTGGTCAGACAAACTTCTTCCTACAGTGGACAATAGTTAATGTAGCGACTCATAACTAGTCAAAATGCTGAGAATAAGTGACTGTTCAATTGTTAGGCATAAATGGGAGAGCTGTTATCAACACCCCGAAGGCTCAGGGAACACAGAGTAAGAGGGGCTGGAAAGAATGTCAAAGCATGGGGAGGAATGCTGTAAAATCCTGTCTTTGGGGCATGACATGGTTGTACTCATGAGCTCACTGCAGCTATGGTTAAGTCAACAGATCAGTCAATATTCCAGCAGGCAGCATAGACTGGACTCAATGAATTACAAAAACTATAAACAGGGGATAGTGGCCAGGCTCAGTGGGTAAAGTTACTTTTTGCTAAGCCTGATGTCCTGAATTTGATTCCCAGAACTTACATGGTAGAAGCAGAGAACTAATTCCTATGAGTTCTACTCTGACACCCATAGACACACTGTGGTATATACACCCATACATATACAAGCGCATGCACAAACACAAGTAAACTAAAAACCCAGACCAAAAACCTACATAAGAAGATATAAAGTAGGAAAGGTGTATGGGTACCCAGAAGGATAAGGGGATGTGCGGCAGAGATAGGAAGACACACTGTAAACACATGAAATTGTCAAAGAACAAATTCAATATTAAAAAGTGAAAAGAATGTGAATGATCAGAGACAGGTGCTTTTCTTTCATTTCTCCCCAAATATTTACTCCTCAGTCACCTCCAGAGCTATAGCCTCAAGAACACTAAAGAAGGCAAGCTAGAGACTGTCCTGAAGTTGTGCACTATGAGCCTCACTCCCACCCTCCTAGGATGTGCTTTCATCACTAGCCAGGGAACAAGCTTTCTATGGCATTTTTGAAGTTTTCTAGGGATATCTCAATTCCGAACATTATTCAATACTTGTACTAGTACTCTCAGCATAAAAATTCACTGTCGTATGAGAAACAGTTGTATTGTATTAGCTTAGCCTTCATTTCATTTTTGTATAGGAGTTGGTGGAGGCCTTACTGCTCAAATCCCTCACAATCACCAAATTCTCTGAAGCTCTATATGTCAAGCTGAACTTTTCTTTGCTCATTCCCAGGATCTTAACAGTCTGAACCCTACAGGATCTGTTTGCAATCAGACCCAGGGACATTTCCCGGGCTAACCCAGATGACTCCTGCTCACTGCATATGCAGCCTGCAAGTTGCTCTATGATCTAAGTTTCATCACACACATACAGTATCTAACATGCCAAAATCAATGATCTTCATTTCCCAATTCATCAATTCTATAACATTTCTTTGGACAATAGGAAAGCCATAATGTTTTATCATGAAAAAGGAGAGGAAAAAAAAAAGCCTGCAGAAGACTAGCAAGAAGTGTGTGCTCAACAAAACAGAGCAAACACAAGGAGGTGTGCAACCATACGATAACACTTTAAATCATTAAAAATGGGAGTCAAGTGAAATTTTACCATGTTAATACCAAATCATCAAGCTCATGTTATAAGAGTATGATCACACTGCAGACTGAAAAATTTTAAAAAGGATATTATTCATGCATGCATGCATAAAAAGGAGCAAAAACTTATAATTTAAAATGTTAGTGTTCTTATAGTGAAGAATATGAGTTATATTACTTTCATCTGTAATGTCTGTATTTTAATACTTTATACAAAAATATGCACTGCCTCCACCATTTTACTACTTTTTTTTTTTTAAAACCCCAGCATTCAGAGGCAGATGGATCTCTGTGAGTTTGAAGCTAGTGTGATTTACATAGCAAATTTTGGACTATCCAAAATTTTGCCTCTCAAAATAAATACATTTTAAAAATCAGAAATAAACAAATTAGTATATATTTACATAAATCACAAAGACTATTACACTTAAAAAATGATAAGTCTTCCATGTGGATTAATAAAAAATGAAGAAATGATATGCCAGTCTGGCTGACACATATTTTGACAGCTTACATAAATATCAGCAAATTATGACTGGAAATACAGGAAGGGAGTTTTCCCTTATATTGAATAAAAATGACAGCTAGCTCTCCTACCCCCAGAACATGGGTTCATAGCCAGCAATAACAGTAGGTGGGCACACAGTCCCTAGAAACACGGAGTGTGTTTCTGGAATAGACTGGCCAACCAACTTCTGTTACACTTCATTTCCAATTTTTAGAAGCAGAAGCGCTAGGAAAGGAAATGTGAGTGAGGCATCTCAATGAGGGAGGATACAGTGAGAGAGCATAAGGAAGCTGAAAAAGAAAAGGGTAATAAAGGGACCGAGGAGAAGTGGACATTGACTTAGACATGGAAGAAACCAGAAAAAAAGGAAGTACACGTGGAGGAAGATGCCTTCTGCACAAGATGAAGCCTTTATTTATCTAGTCTCGGTAGTTGACTGCACAGCACAGCAGTAGCAGGGACAGGAGTGTGCTGAAGAAGCTGAGGGAGAAGACAAAAGGCAGCTCTAACAGACACTGCACCCAGCAGCAAGGTGTCACTCCTGATCTGATCTTACTGTGTGGTACCACCAGGTGATGAAGACCTGTTACATACATCAACACACCCAGTAAAAGGTTTTATATATGAATTCTTGATAAATGCTACCATGTCATGGACTACAGGAAAAAAGTTACTTCCTGTTCACAAACAAACCACTAAGTAGTTTGTATGTCTGCAATGCAGACTATGATTCTTTGCCCAAATAAAAAAGCCTCTGATTTTCAGCCAGGCAGGGTGGTACACTCCTTTAATCCCAGTACTCAGGAGACAGAGGCAGGTGGATCTCTATGAGTAGGAGGCTAGCCTGGTCCACAGAGTGAGTTCCAGGATGACCATAACTATAGAGAGAAAGCTTGTCTCAAAAAAAAAAAAATTGGAAAAACAAATTTTTTATTGGGAAAGTAGTGATCAGCGTCTAGGATACTGACATAGAAGGGGACCTCAGTGCCAACTCCTAAGATTCAGAGGTCTAATGCTGGCCAGAATCATTAATTCAGAAGCTGTCCTAAGATTCAGAGGTCTAATGCCGGCCAGAATCATTAATTCAGAAGCTGTCCTAAGGATTCAGAGGTCTAATGTTGGCCAGAATCATTAATTCAGAAGCTGTCCTAAGATTCAGAGGGCTAATGCTGGCCAGAATCATTAATTCAGAAGCTGTCCTAAGGATTCAGAGGTCTAATGCTGGCCAGAATCAATTCAGAAGCTGAATTGAGGCCAGGCCTTTCCTGCCTAAGAAAGCACACACTAGTTTCCACTCTGCTGGCAACTCAAACCCATGCACAGCTCATGCTTCCTTGGGAATACCTCTTGTATACACTCTGGCAGGGCCAGGACTACAGGGGCATTCTGTTGCCTTCAATGCTGAACTTGACAGCACGGTGCATTTTGCTGAGCCTCTTCTGTTCTGCAAATCGCCTCTTATGCTTTTCCAACCGACTTAGGCCCCTTTTAAGAACACCAGGCTAGACAGAGTGGTTTGATGGGAGAGAAAGATTACCAAGAGACAGCATTGGGGTAATGTCTTCACTGATGACAGGGCAAGTCTCTATCCTGACAGTTTCACAACAGAAATGCTTAAGCAGATGGAGAGAAAGGGAGAGGAGGCTCTGAGAAAAGCAGGTAAGTTATATTTCTCATGATTCTTTAAGTGAATGAATGAATACCTAAGAGATCCTGAAACAGATCTCATGAATCAAATAAACCTGAACTGCCATAAACACTATTAAACAGAAAGAAAGGGGGAAATCCAAACGGCCTTGCTCTTCCTCTGCTCACTCACCCTGGACGACTCCATTTCTACATTCCACTTGGGCCTGACCACATAGTCCTTGTTTGACGGCATTGGGACTCGAGCACGGGCACAAAAGCCAGGATCTCCAGGTCTAAGAGCCCTGAGGAAGGAAAGGAAAAAACCTGCTTATTTAGCTGGCCACAGCAGAGCCTAAGTGAGATTTCACCCCTGTAAGCCTAGGCCCATCACAGTCAGCTACCCCACCATCCCATCATCAGACATCTGCTATAGTGTGTGAACTACTCCCTCAATGCCCATTTCCTCTTTGTATGAACTCTTGCTTCTACTTGGCTTCACATGTAATCACGCCCTGTCCTTTCTCAAGAAATTTTGTTTTTAAATTCATGTTTATGAGCATTTGCCTTCATATGTACCACTAGAAAAGTGTCAGATCCCTTGGAACTAGTTACAAATAGTGTGAGGCACAATGTGTGAGCTGGCAACCCAATGTAGGTCCTCTGCAATAGCAGCCAGTGCTCTTGAGTCCTCTCTCCACTCAACCCAATGCAGGTCCTCTGCAATAGCAGCCAGTGCTCTTGAGTCCTCTCTCCACTCAACCCAATGTAGGTCCTCTGCAATAGCAGCCAGTGCTCTTGAGTCCTCTCTCCACTCAACCCAATGCAGGTCCTCTGCAATAGCAGCCAGTGCTCTTGAGTCCTCTCTCCACTCAACCCAATGCAGGTCCTCTGCAATAGCAGCCAGTGCTCTTGAGTCCTCTCTCCACTCAAAGAGGAATGAATCCTAGGTTCTCTAACTAGTCTCGAGAGTCACTACAAGACGAAAAATTAGGTTGTCAAAATGATCCCCCATTCTTGGAGAAAACCTATGAGGTCATTACAAACTCCCTAGCAGTTATAAGAAGTAATGAAGAGAGACCCCAGTGTCTCTTCCATAGTTAACAACTTTCCAAACTACAGCATATCACAGTGAGAACACTGATACAATCTATCTTTTCTTTACATTTCTCACTTTCACTTGTGCTTATATTTAGTTCTAGGCAACTTTGAAAATAACCATGCTCCACTAAGGTCACAATCCTGACTAAGTAAAGTCCTCCAGTTTGTGTCTGGGCATTTAAGTTATTCAATCTTTAGGAACTCCCCCTAAAAAAACAGTGAGAGCAGAACTTGCACCTGCTGGAGTAGGGAGCAAACACCTATACTCTCACCTACGGGCTCTATCCCAGCATGGACGAACGCATCTCTACAGGCTCCTCAGCTACACTCCGCTGCCACACTGGTCAGTTTATTTCTTATGCTAGATTCGAGACTGAACATTCTCACCCACCCATGGAGATACCATCAAATCTTTGTCCAGCCTGGCTAGACCTCATGGTGTTTCTAAGAGAAAAATAACTTTACTAATTTCTTCAAATCTACTTACTCATCCTTAGTTTTAGTGGATGGTAGTATCACTGTCTCCATACTCTAGTTTAAATATTTGGTTTGAATTCAATTTTAAGTCAACTTCTCCCTAAAAATGTCACCAACTGTAAGTAACTATCTCCAGTGTCTTCTCAGCCTTCTGTTACTGTGACTAACTATATCATTGTCTTCAGCCCACGGCTCCAGCCTGCTCCAACGATGCCCTCAGAACCAGCATTTCAAATTAGACATGACACTTTCTCAGGCAGGCTCAAACCCTTCTCTGAATCATCAAGAGAAGCAAACCTCCCCACCGTGATCGGAGGCTCCTGCTGGTCCACACCTATGCTCTCACACCGCCGCCGATGCGCACGTCTACCATCTTGAAGCCAGGACTGCACACATGTTGGTCTACCTCCCCACACGGGACTATACTTGACAATATGGGAAACTGCAAGTCTCTTTTGTATTCTGTAAACTTTAAACTTAAAGGATTCCAGCACTTAGGAAGCAGCAAGGAAATACTTGTTAAATGGACCATTTTTTCAATTCTTCAGAGCACTCAAGACACTGTTTGCAGTTACTTAATAAACATTAAATGGAAAAAAAATCAACAAATAGAAACACACAACTAAATATTGTTCTTACAATAAAGTAAAACAACAACAGGAATCTTCTATATATGCTAAGAAAAGTCAAGACAAAACCCTTACTTTTCCTCTCCTGTCAGCACCTTCTCCAAGTCTCTTCGTGGTGTCTGACCACCAGTGCTAGGAAAAGAACAAACTGTGAGATACTAGGATCTTAAATTCTTACAACTAGGAAAAGCACATCAAAATATCAAATTTATACCATTAGTAAGTGCCTTTATATTGAGTTGTAGAATGCACTTTGGAAAAAGCATGATGATGTGTATGTGCACACATGTGAGGGTGTGCAGTGGTTGTCAGGGGTAACTTTTCTTTCTGACTTGACTTGGGTTCTTGGGATCACTCAGGTTGCCAGATTTGCACAGCAGGCGCCTTTACCCTCTGAGCCACCTTGTGGGCCTGAGAACGTGTAGTTGTTTTAAAGTTTGTTTGCTTTAGTATTCATTCATGCAGCAGATTTTGTTCTGGGTGATCTACACTGCTCTCCCAGGATGTATCCAGAATACTGACAAATTGAACCAATACTTCTTTCCTCTTTAGGGTTTTGGAACTGGGACTGAAAAATTTGTTTTCTGCAAATGGCTAGAATACTACCATCTCTAGCGTTCCAGCACTGAGGGAGCATACTGCATTTCACTGTCACAGAAAGGCCTGACTCACACACCACTCCATTAAATTACACTTGTGCATTCATACCTGTTCCCTCATACCTGCTCATTCTTCTTCGCTGAGGCATTTGTTCTAGATCTCTCTGCTCCCTTTCTTCTCTTGTCATTCCTTTATAGTTTGAGGTAAGACCAAATATAGGCCGAGACCACTCATCTACATTAAGGAAAATAATAATTAATTAGTTCATAAATTAGCATTTCTCCTGGGTTTTTAAATAATCACACCCTAGTACTGGGCAGTTTTACGGGCATTTATGGAGTGTTTCTTTGTAAAATATGAAGCACAGGAGGGAGGAACACAAGCCTACAGTCATAATCAGTATGCACTTCAGTTAGAATCCAGACTTCTCTGGCCTAATCAGGAAAGCATAAGAAAAGGTCTTGGAGGTTAACGACAGCAACAGTGGTCGACTTTCCTGACAGCAGTGCTCTTTACATATCCATCCTCTCATTTAATCTTTATAATAACTCAAGGAAAACATGGAAAATCTCTTTACTACAGAGGTAGAGACCAAGCTCAACTAAGGGTTTTCAGGAAGTGGTGGAGTCACCACTATGAACTAGGCATGGCTAATTAAGGGTCTGCACTCTGCCAGTCTCCATGTTCTTGGTCCACAACTAGAAGATATACGCTTTTAATCGCTCTAGTTAACAATGGAAAGCATATTTAAATAAACTTAAGAGCATTGGAAGTGTAAGAGAAAATATTTAGTACTTGTACATGGCATTAAAACTCTTCTATTCCACTTTAGAGGATCGTTTTAAACAAATATTGGTAAACATAGTTTTACACGTGCGTCTCTCTCCGTCTATAGTCATTAAACAAATAAGAAGCAAACTTTACATACTGATTAATTTCCCTGCCATGTCCTTGTTGGACCTGGACTCCTTGGGGTGTTTATACAGATACATCACTGCTCGTCCAATCCCACTGTGCTTCAGGGTCTCCTGGCTCACACTAGGGAGCTGGGGAACAAAAGCACAGAGATGCACATTAATTAATTAATTAACTCAGGAGACAAGAGGCATGCTAATTTAGAGATCTTCAAAGCCTCATTTGTTCACATCAGAACTAATACAAAAGTCTATTGTTTTAGAATTTATGAAGACATGGAACATCCTCTGTGCTGATATCAAAGTCAAGGCTTCAGTATTAGTCAAGTAAAATAACAAGGTGAGGAGACACCAACTCCACACCAGAGACAGCAGCTCGGTCCAGGCCTTGGGAACCAGCACACCTAAGCCTCCATCTATGCATGACCTTAGAGAAGTCTATGACAAGTTTCCCGAAAGACTGAAAGACCAGTACAAACACAAAGAACCTAGCAGTGTTTGGTACTCAGAGGCTCCTTTCAAGTTTCTTCAGATGCTAAACAGCTTGCCTAGGGTATCCCAATCACAGAAAAAGCGACCCAGCTAGAGATTCCAATTCAAGTTGATAATCTCTAAATGTAGAGAACTTTCTACTTCAAGTGCCTCTTAGAGGTAGGATCACTACTGGACTGCTCTCCCATGAAACCCATGGCTGCACTAAGAACTCTGTCCTTGAAAACTGTCATCAACCAATTTTACAAGGTTTTCTTTTATGCTCATTTTATTAGATAGGTATGGTACTTTCCCCCAAACCCCCTTTCTGGCAGGTTGCAACATTTTGTAAATGATACAAAATATAGGTCTTGACTACAGAAATCACATTATATTTAATGAATTACAGACTATCTGTGCTGCTTGGCAGTGGTGGCGCACACCTTTCAACCCAGCACTTGGAAGGCAGAGGCAGGCAGATCTCTGTGAGTTCGAGGCTAGCCTGGTCTACAAGAGTGAGTTCCAGGACAGCCTCCAAAAGCCACAGAGAAACCCTCTCTCGACAAAACAAAACAAAAAACAAAAAACCCCAACAAATTATCCGTGCTAACCTCTTGTAGAATCTTCAACAATTCCTCCCGAATCTTCAGTGCAGGCAAACTCCTATCTGGTAGAGGTGAGAGCCATTCTTTAATGGCAGACATCACACCGCTGTCAATAAATGTTTCTTTAAGGTCCTGCCTGCAATAATAAGGATAATTGATGAACATGTTAATAATGACAAGTCTACCACCCTCTGATTTTACTTACGTAGTGATGTTTCCACAAACAAAAACTGCTTTTAAAGAATTATTTATTCATATTTACTTAGCCGCTATTCTAGTTTCAAAAGCAGCACGAAAAGTTAGCTTACACTTCAAAAGTAACTCATGAAGATATGTAGATTTTACAAAATAGATTAAAACCAGAATCAACGATACAGATAGTCAAAGAAAACAATGAAGCCCAATTATTACAACTAAACAAAACAAAAGAACAATCAACCAGTAGTTCATTTCATAGTGGGGAACACAGAATTGTGTTGCTCTCTGATAGATAACAAGGAAAATATAGTTTTCCTGGCAGTGGGAACAGTATCTCAATTGAATACCAATATTTAAACTTTGCTTTATGAAATGGAATAAATTAGAAAAATGTAGCATATCTACGTGAAATCTGCCAAATAGCTTTGCATGGCACAATGGAGAAAACAATTTTCTAGTTGGCTCATTGGTGTGCTAAGGCATTTCTTTAACTATCAAAACTGTTGTAATTTTATTCAAGGAGAAAACAAAGTTGTTTATGGCTGTGAGCAGACTAGCGGAAGAATTTCTCAACAAGGATTGTGGAAGAGCATCATTAAAGGAAGAGCAATGACTGTGGTGTACAGGGACAAATAAATCTGTACAGCATGAGCTTCAAGCAGTATTTCCCAAGATTTGGGTTTCTACTACTATCTTGTGAAAAATAGATGAACGTTTACAAGGTCTCAATTGTCTATAAAGGATAAAATAAGTAAATTTCCAGGTTTTCCTTATTACCAGTTTTATGTTTGTTCTGTTTGCAAAAAGCACTAAGGCTTAAAAAATTTATGAGCAGGGTAGTGGTGGCACGGGCCTTTAATTCCAGCCTGAAGTTCCAGGACAGGCAGGGCTACATAGAGAGACCTTGTCTCAAAACGAACACTTATGAACAACCATAACTAAAGAAAATTTACTCATCCCCAAATCTTCTGGAGCCTGACAGAAGGCCATAATTATTCAATAGTTCTAAAACAACAGTGTATAGTTTAAATATCATTTTATGAGTCAGACTTAGCTTGCTTTATTTATTTATTTTTCCAAGACAGAGTTTTGCTGTATAGCCCTGGCTGCTTAGAACTCACCCTGTTTACCATGCTGGCCTTGAACTCACAGAGATCCAAGTGCCTCTGCTTCCAGAGTGCTGGGATTAAAAGAGTGCACCACCACTACCCAACGTGAATATCATTTTATTAAAATGAAAAATTTTTTCCAGGAAAACAAAATACTTACTTTTTAAGGTGCATAACCACAGTAGGCAATAAAGTTAATTTCTTCAGTGCTGGTTTTTTTTGATTATTCAATTGTCTGTCTTCCTATTCAGAAAACAGAACACCCCCCCACACACACAAAAAAAGGGTTTAAAATAAATCAACATTAGCTCTTAATACAATTATAACAGCTACTACAATTCTAACCCTTAAAATAATTATTCAAAGAAAGTATAGTTGTCCTGAAAGGAAGGATGAGCTATTTTACACAAAGCCAAACTCCTTATCTGTCTAGTCAATCAAACCCACAAATCTTGCTTCATTGCTTTTTAATGACCAGTACTGACAAGTTTTCAAGTTTTTGGAATTCATTCAAGGAACAATATACAGCTGTGAAAGTCTGGCTTGTCTTCAAGAATTATTTTTCTATGAGTAAGGAGAATATTACCAAATATTACAAGAAACTACTTGGGTAATTTCTACTTTTTCTTAAATTATAAAAACAAATACAGGGTTTCTCCCTTTACCCTTGAACTACTTTAAATAAATTCAAGACACATCATGAAACCCATGAACTATGTCAGCAAGGGCTGGTGGTGGTGCTCAATGGTGGAGCGCTTGCCTTTGGCTTGTACGTGCCTGAGTTCAGTCCCCAGCACCTCCAAACAACAACAACAACAAAAGTATCTCGTCAAGTGTTTCTAACGGACTGGAATTTAATTTTTAAACATATTTGCCAATTTTTTTTTTGTTTTTCGAGACAGGGTTTCTCTGTGGCTTTGGAGGCTGTCCTGGAACTCGCTCTGTAGACCAGGCTAGCCTCAAACTCACAGAGATCCGCCTGCCTCTGCCTCCTGCATGCTGGGATTAAAGGCGTGCGCCACCAACGCCTGGCCCTGCCAATTTTTAATAATTTGGATTTTTTTTTCTCAGTACAATGAGTCAGCTGCAATCTCTTGATCAGGGGGGAAAACAGCAAAAGACTTTCTAGCACATTTTGTATTTAAACAGACATCAGCCTTGGTAGTGGACCACACAGCTATGACAACAAATCTCCAATTCACTTAAAAAAGGATTAATTTTTACATATCATTTTTCCTAACATGTGGCTAAATTTTGAAAATTAAGATTGTTTATAGGATTAAAATTTAGCAAGTATATACCTTATTACAGAAAGCAAGAAATTTTTTGTAGCAACCTAGCGCTAAGCATTTAGAGAAGATGCCACACCCTCAGGTTGGTGGAGGAAAGAGGAGGTAGCCCACCGAGAAGAGACGCCTTACCTCCGCAGCCTCGTTCATCTTCACAATCATGGCGCTCACAACGTCGTCTGCGTCACTAATGAAAGTGCCCCCATCTCGATTCCGTCTGCGTTTGCCACTCATGCTCTTTTTTCGTTGTAACATCATCTCAAAATCCGACAGAAAGTCCATACTAGGCAGCAACACAAAATCAAGCTCTTTAATCCCATACCTTCTTTAATTACAATTAAGACCACCAAACTGTGTACTGTCGAGTCAAAGACGTGCTACTTTTGTTCTGTTTCGTTGACATAGGGTCTCTCTACCTACCCCTGGCTGTCCTGGAACTCCCTAAGTGAGCAGGCTGACCTCAAACTCAGAGAGATCTGCCTGCCTCTGCCTCCTGAGTGCTGGGATTTAAAGGTGTGCACACCATGCCTAGACAACTGCTGCTTTGTTGTAGGAATTTAGCAGTCGCTGTATCTGGGGTAGATATCAGAGCGAACAGCTGTTTTTTCAGAAGTACTTTGACCTTCAAGAATCCTTGTGGAAAACTGTTTTGGTGAAGGAGCATTTGCAGCCATACCATGACTTTGGTCATAAGGAGCCTCAGGCATACCTGAGGCTTTTGTGTTATTTTGTATTGCAAACGATACAGAATAAAGGACTAGGGTGTGTATGGAGGAAAATACAAGTGATATTCTCCTTTAGTAAGACATGTAAATTAGACTAGGGACCTTAGCAGGAGATACTTTATGTAACTATCAATAAGTACTCCTTTGGACAGCTGTTTGGGGGTTCAGAGAGGCTGGACCTTCCTGCTGTCACATAGGCCTTAAAATTTCATCTTAGAGTGCCTCCTTTCTTCAGCCAACCTGTGCTTCATGGTGCACCCGACACTACTTTTTTAAAACACTCAAATAGGCATAACTTGCTACCACAAGAAGCGTGACCCTCACACTCCATACCTAAGTCCTGCTCCACTCCACTGAGGAAGAGTGACACAGACAGGCCTATCCACTGAGGAATAGTAACACAGACAGGCCTATCCACTATGAATAGTGACACAGACAGGCCTATCCACTATGAAGAGTGACACAGACAGGCCTATCCACTATGAATAGTAACACAGACAGGCCTATCCACTATGAATAGTGACACAGACAGGCCTATCCACTGAGGAATAGTGACACAGACAGGCCTATCCACTGAGGAATAGTAACACAGACAGGCCTATCCACTGAGGAATAGTAACACAGACAGGCCTATCCACTATGAATAGTGACACAGACAGGCCTATCCACTGAGGAATAGTAACACAGACAGGCCTATCCACTGAGGAATAGTAACACAGACAGGCCTATCCACTGAGGAATAGTAACACAGACAGGCCTATCCACTGAGGAATAGTAACACAGACAGGCCTATCCACTATGAAGAGTGACACAGACAGGCCTATCCACTATGAAGAGTAACACAGACAGGCCTATCCACTATGAAGAGTAACACAGACAGGCCTATCCACTGAGGAATAGTAACACAGACAGGCCTATCCACTATGAAGAGTAACACAGACAGGCCTATCCACTATGAAGAGTAACACAGACTGGCCTATCCACTATGAAGAGTAACACAGACAGGCCTATCCACTATGAATAATAACACAGACAGGCCTATCCACTGAGGAATAGTAACACAGACAGGCCTATCCACTGAGGAATAGTAACACAGACAGGCCTATCCACTGGTGAATAGTAACACAGACAGGCCTATCCACTATGAATAGCAACACAGACAGGCCTATCCACTATGAAGAGTGACACAGACAGGCCTATCCACTATGAAGAGTAACACAGACAGGCCTATCCACTATGAAGAGTGACACAGACAGGCCTATCCACTATGAAGAGTAACACAGACAGGCCTATCCACTATGAAGAGTGACACAGACAGGCCTATCCACTATGAAGAGTAACACAGACAGGCCTATCCACTATGAAGAGTAACACAGACAGGCCTATCCACTGAGGAATAGTAACACAGACAGGCCTATCCACTGAGGAATAGTAACACAGACAGGCCTATCCACTGGTGAATAGTAACACAGACAGGCCTATCCACTATGAATAGCAACACAGACAGGCCTATCCACTATGAAGAGTGACACAGACAGGCCTATCCACTATGAAGAGTGACACAGACAGGCCTATCCACTATGAAGAGTAACACAGACAGGCCTATCCACTATGAAGAGTGACACAGACAGGCCTATCCACTATGAAGAGTAACACAGACAGGCCTATCCACTGGTGAATAGTGACACAGACAGGCCTATCCACTATGAAGAGTGACACAGACAGGCCTATCCACTGGTGAATAGTGACACAGACAGGCCTATCCACTATGAAGAGTGACACAGACAGGCCTATCCACTATGAAGAGTAACACAGACCGGCCTAGGCTTTTGGCACGCCACACTGACACTTGCCATCTGCTAGCTGAAGAAGGAACATTTCAAGTCCTCTGTTAGGAGCACCTTCACCTGAGGCCCACCGCTTTTTTAGGAATAGAAAATGTTTATTTGAATGCTTTTGTCTTACAAACCATGATTAGAAAGAAATGAAAAAAAATCAACTGCCGCTTTTTAGTACTGAAGAGCACAACTCAAAACAAAGTGACTGCAGGCACGCCAAGTGCCGGGCCTTTACAGTTACCACGACTTGCCCTTGAGAGGGTAGGTTACCTCTCTCTGCTGCATGCTAATAAATCCACATTTCAAAAATTAGCACCCAAATTTTACTTCTTAATTCTTGGACATCACTGAAAGAGAAACTACATTTCTTAAAGCACAATCTTTACAACTGTGGCTACACTGACAGATTTTCATGCTGAACCATCCCTGCATCTCAGTGGTTATCACCCCATTCATAGCATCACCTTTTTCTAGACATGGTTCACAACTATTTTAACAAAAGTAAGTAGATATAATTAAGAAACATTTTGGTATTGAATTTAGATTTGTTTCCCTTGCCACCAAAAATGAACTTTCCTCTCCTCAAAAGTTTTTATTTTCCAGTAATTTATCTTATAAGAAATAAATTTAAAATGCCATATAATTTATAATTTAAGACATCTGAGCACAGAGCAAATGACAGCAAACAACTCACTAAGAGTATTTGAGGAGGCGGCGGGAGGAAATAGAGGAACACACTCTTCCAAGTCTGGGACCTACATGAGAAACAGGAGCGCTCAAAACCTGTACCTTCACCTTCTTAAAAGCCAACAACAGAGACACTCACTGCTTTCCTCTCTTTATGTTATCGTCAGAGTCGGAATCTTCTGCTTCCTTTAGCTGGGTTTCGCTCTTCTCTTCCTCCAAATCTTCTTGGTTAAAACCCTAAAGGCACAGTGAGTTAGCCCAGTTTGCAGATATTTCCTCCTGCAAACAACTCATGATTTCTCACATTAAGTAATGTATCCACAAAGGACAACGAGTACTGAGCAGGTATCAAGAGGTGTAGCAGACGTTCCCTGCCTAGCCACGAGGGGGCGTCTGCTTCGTCCAAAGCAGCCCACACCTACCTATGTGAGTACTTTCATACCGTAGTGTCTCCTTTTATTATACACGCTCACGCCATTCGGAGGGTAGGAGATACTGTCTTGCACTTTCCAAATTCTACAACCTAAAATGCTTTTATTCTTTGTAAGGCTTTGTATTGTTTCACTGTATGTGTTAGAGAACTACTACCACAGAAACGGGAAAAATGCATAGTTAAAACTTACTGTAAATTCCTCTTCCTCTTCATCACCAGATTCTCCAAATATATCTGCAATAAGATTTCTAGAAAACCAAATATAAAAACACTCATCAGCTCTCTTACATTTGCATATGTATAATTTTTACAAACAAGGTATTATTTATGGATGGTAAAATGTGCAGACCTTAGGGTTAACAAAGCGTACACACTCATATAACCAGTGCCCTAAAGGGAGGAGCCTATTTCCTAGAAGTTTCCTCACAGCCTTCTCTCTCGCAGTACTCAACTCAAAGGCAAGTGCGATTTGTTCTGTTTCAAACACTGCTGACTGAGGCACATCCTCAGCCCCTCACAGCCCTTTTAAATGAACCCTTCACCACCAAGACCCAGGGGTAACATGATCATGAACTCTGCCAGCTCTTAAGTGTCATGTGAATGGAGCCATAACATATTCCTTTTTAATTTTATTTTTTGTATTTCTGTGTAGCTTTGTAGACCAGGTCGGCCTCAAACTCAATAGAGAGCCCCCTGCCTCTGCCTCCTGAGTGCTAGCTAGGATTACAGGCATGCGCCGCCACTGCCCACCGGCTAACACACTCCTTCTGACCCCTGCAGTCAGCATATTACTTGAGACCCACTCGTGCTGTGTGTAGTAATAATGCAGCATTGACCCTGCCTGAGACCCACTTGTGTATGTGCAGAGCAACACTTCAGCATGAAGTCCTAGAGGCACAGCCAGGCAGGCAGGCAGCTGAGGCTTGCGCCTCCTAAAGCCCTCTTTGCTGCTGAAGGCCCTGGAAACCCATGTGCTCACGTACTCTTCTTCATTGCCCGATTCACTGTCGCTCCCAAACAGGTCCTTCTCGTCACTCTTCTTCACAGACGAGTCTTCCCTCCCTGCTCCTTCCTCACTGTCAGGTGCTGTCTTCTCTCTTCTGCTTGACTTGTCTGATACGACGTCACTGTCAGAGTCGTCAGCATCAGAGACAACTCGACTCTTCTTTGCCACTAAAAGTACAATTGTTTCTGTTATCTCGTTATGTATTACTAAGTGTGATGGGCTGTGAAAATGGGAGCGCCGGGGAAAGAAGTCAAATAGCTAACACATGCATCACAAAGAGAAGAGTTCCCACATAACTGGTGCGGCTCAGTAGGAGAGCACCTGCCTAGCAGGCGCAAGGCCCGGGGTTCTGGTCTCAGCATCAACAACATACAGACAGGCACACTGACGGTCACCCTACAGTTTCCACTCTCCCAGGAAGTACTGACTAAATGATAAAGGCACCATCTGTGTCTATCAGTAGCACCTCTCCTTGGGGAACAGAGACAATTAGACGTCTGCTGGGGCAGAAAGGGCATCTTTCCTGGGCTGAGCAGCCTGCAGTCTAAACTGTGAATTCCCCATGTTCCTTCTGGTAATATCAGACTTCCGGGTAAGACAGTGGACCTCAGGCTGCTTCTGTGAAGACCAGTGAAGCACAGATTTAAATAAGAAAAAGCTGACTATACCTCAACAAGAGAAATAAAGGAGAAGCTCAAGAAGTCCCTGAAGGTAAGAAACGACTCTGGAAGGAACAAGAACCAAAACAAAAAATACAGAGCAGCTAGCCAAACACTTCCAAAAAGTAAGCTAGATGACAGCCAGGTAGTCACACCCTCAGGGCAATCTACAGCTCTTATGGGCCCCAAATTTAGTTGGGGTTTATTAAGACAACAATTCTTCCAGGCAAAGAGAAACCCATGAACCACAGGGCAATAGCCAGGTATAATCTCAAGAGAGAATCTATTGTTAAAAACTGAGCTATTCCCCAGGGGCCTGGAATCAGGAACAACCAAAGGTGTGGGAGGTGCCGTTTGGCTTGCTGCTACCCCTGTATGGGGGAAGGCCTAGAGAAGCAGTGGTGGAAAGTAGAGCTGGATCGTAATGGACTAAAGGGTGCAGACAGCAGAAGGAAGTGCATAAGACAGGAAACAGATCTCACCAATGAGAGTTACCCCACAGTCCAATATCTCTGAGCAAAGGCCAGTGGGTAGATCAAAACCCAGAACCATCTACAGCTGTATCTGTTCAGCAGTGTAATTAATCAGTACTTAGGAGGCCTTAAAAATAGCAAGTTGGCTTGGTAGTGGTGGGGCACGCCTTTAACCCCAGAACTAGGGAGGCAGAGGCAGGTGGATTTGAGTTCTGAGTTTAAGGCCAAGCTGATAAAACAAGTTCCAGGACAACCAGGGCGACACACAGAAATCCTGTCTTGAAAAACAAAAACAATGACAACAGTGCTGTGGTTGCTTTCTATACTGCCAAGATACTTGGGAGCCTTCCCCACTCCAAGCTAAAACAGGTGATCTAGGTGTAACAGTTTGGGAGTCTAGTGAAGATCTCTGAGAATATGCCCAATCCACAGAATATATGTGGTATTCAAAGTTCAGTGTAGCTGGCCAGTTAGAGACTCAGATCACCAAAACGAAAAACTGAAAACAACTCAGGTAGACATCACAGACCCAGACAAATCTCAAAACACACACAGCATAAACTAGGTAAATTCAACCGACCCCCTCCTGTGCATACGAGCGGCACTCTCCAATTTTCAAGGAACCATAAAGAAACTACGCTCATGTTGCAACTTTTTTTCATGTAATTTTTTTCTCCTACACAAATAAGCAGGAAATTTTTTTTACTATACTGAATTTTTAATCTTGGTTATTCTCCTTTCTACATTAATTTGCTTATGCATTTTTATTGCTATTCTTGAACAATATTTTTCTTTTCCTTGGTTTCATATTTTTCTGTCTGGCCCCTATGCCTGTCTTTCCTTACCCCATCATTAGAAGAATTCTAGGTTAAACAACAACAACAAAAAAAAATCTTTAAAATTCCTATTCTTACATTTATCTAATTTTGTGTTTGAATGTTTTCTCTAAGGAGTGTTCTGTTCTTTTAAATTTTCCCCTAATTTCTTGGTTTTTCCCAGTCCTGTGACCACTGTGCACTGAGTACAATGGCTAACTTTAAGCCTCTCTGTAGATCCAGTGTGGCTGACGATGGCGTTGCTACAGCGGTCTGTCTCCTCACTCCCTGATTTGGGACTGAGCCTTCAAGAGTAGATAGACTGCTGAGTAAAATGACCCCCATCCCCATACAGGCACATAATCACCACACACATAAAAGAAACGTGAAAAGGCAAGGCCACACGATTCCTCACCTAACAAAATCAAAGGCTAAAATGCCCACAAAAATGGCAAGACTTTCTGGTAGATGATCAATAACCTCCAAGGATACAAAGCTGAGTCAGCAAACAGGTGCTGGGGGTGGGGGATGGGGTTTCCTACAAAAATTGATGAGAAATCTGAATGGAAAAATCAATACAGAAGAAAAAGCAAGAAAACTGAGATTTTAGGTATGTGTGGGGGGTGCTAGAAATAAAAACTCAAGGAATCAAATAATATGGCCACATGTACAGTGCTTTCTCCTGTAACAACTGTCATTATAAAGGAATGCATTTCTTTTTCAAAAAAGACAAGTTGCACACAAAAAGAAATTAAGTAAAAAGTTATTACCTGTGGAAATGGAGTCTGAGGTAGCAAAGACTAACACTCTGCAGAGTTGTGGTCTTTAAATACAATCCCCCCCAAACTCTCCTGTATGTGGGTATTTAACAATGCTAAACATTTGATAAAGAGAAGGACTTCTGAGGCTCAGTTTCTGTCTGAGTGAAATGTTATTAGCCATCACAGAGAACGCTAGCCAAGGAGAAATGTTTTCTTCCCTGGTGGAGCCACTGGTAAGGTGTACATGACTTCTGTAGATTAAATCTAGTAAAACTCATTTGGTTACAAAAGCAAGACAAAATCAAACTATCCATAGAAACAAGAAGGCGTGAGGGGGGCAGTGGGAGTGGCCAAGACTGGATAAGGAGTATGATGAAATGGTGAGACCAACATTAAAATTAGGATACGCTAATAAAGCATGCCAGACAAGGACCCAATGTCTCCTAACGTTAGGCGTGTAGACAACAAGGAAAGCCACAGCCAGTGTAGCCCTTACATGCTTTGTCTTCGTCTTCACTGTCCGAGAGCACAGCCGCCTTCCTCTTGGTGGCTTTCTCCTCGCCCCCCTCCTTCTCTTCATCTTCATCACTACCCATTCTCGGCCTCTTTGGCTCTTCCTCCTCCTCACTGTCAGAGCTGTGCAGTCTTTTTCTGTCTGTCTGGCCCCCTGACTCATTCTGCATTTCTTCCCTCTTATTCTCTCCATCACTATCATCCGACTCTGGCTTGTCTTTGGGTCTGGAGGCATCCTCAGCTTCCGAGTCACTAGCGGGTCCTTTCTGAGGCTCCTCGCTTTCTGAGTCACTGACTCGGGGTTTGGGGAGCTCCTCGCTTTCCGAGTCACTGGCCTGTGGCCTAGGAGGCTCCTCGCTTTCTGAGTCACTAACTCGGGGTTTGGGGAGCTCCTCGCTTTCCGAGTCACTGGCCTGTGGTCTGGGAGGCTCCTCGCTTTCCGAGTCACTGACTCGGGGTTTGGGGAGCTCTTCACTTTCCGAGTCACTAACTCGGGGTTTGGGGAGCTCCTCACTTTCCGAGTCGCTGGCCTGTGGCCTAGGAGGCTCCTCGCTTTCCGAGTCGCTAATCCGAGGTTTGGAGAGCTCCTCACTTTCCGAATCACTTACACGAGGTTTGGGAGGTTCCTCATTTTCCGAGTCACTGGCCCGGGGCCTTGGGGGATCTTCACTGTCAGACTCGCTCCCCTGAGGCTGCAGCGTGTCCTCAGCTTCAGAGTCACTGGCAGCATGCTTTCTAACCTCTTCTTTTTCTGAGTCACTTGCATGCCCATTGAGAAGCTCCTCATTCTCAGAGTCACTCCCATGCTGGTTGACATCTTCATTTTCAGAATCACTGGCAGGAGACTCTGCATGGTCCTCAGACTCAGAGTCACTGTCCTTTGTCCTGTGGAGTTCCTCACTCTCAGAGTCACTAGCAGTAAGTTTATAGGGCTCATCATTCTCAGAGTCTGTTCCATTTTGTTTCTTGTTCAAGCCATCTTCTCTGTCACTAGTTTCATTCTGAAAACGTAAGAGAAAATTAGCAAGGTAAAAAAAAATATGTAGTGTAACCTTAAAAATTTTCAGCAATTTTTAAAAATACAGGGATATGTGCATTCTTAAAGATTTTTCATCCTATACCAATAAAGAAACATCACTTTAAGCCGGGCGTTGGTGGCGCACGCCTTTAATCCCAGCACTCGGGAGGCAGAGGCAGGCGGATCACTGTGAGTTCGAGACCAGCCTGGTCTACCGAGTGAGTTCCAGGACAGGCTCCAAAACAATACAGAGAAACCCTGTCTCGGAAAAAAAAAAAGAAAGAAAGAAAGAAAGGAAGAAAGAAAGAAAGAACCATCACTTTAAACTAAGGCCAGTCTGTGAAATGGAGTGTCATCGGATGGCCCCTAAAGAGAAGTATAGCCAAACCTGTAAAGCATACTCTTACATGTAGAGGCCTTTATGTTTAAAAACAGAGCCGTAATTCCTTGTATAATTCTATTTACCCAGAGAAATATAAGCAAATATACAACCAAGTTTTTCACAAAGGCATAATCTCAAGTTTTATACAACTGGCATTATTTTAAGAAAAAAAGCTTTAATATAAAAATTATGCTCCCAGAACTTGGGAGGCAGAGGCAGGAAGATCTCTGGGTTCAAGGCTAGCCTGGTCCTCAGATCACGGTCCAGGACAACCGCCCCTCCACAAAACAACTTTAATAATTCAAATAGTCAAATAGCATATATTCATTCATGTTGTTTCATGAATCTCAACAAAAAAAGTAGTTACTATTTCCAAAGTACCTACTGAAAGCCAGCATTACGTTTGGTTGTTCCTGTTGGCTCACTTCTCCTAACAAGTACTTCTCGGGCCAAGAAAACAGGGTTCTACTTAAACATAGGATGTGCTGCATACCTATGTCAGCACTCAGGAGGCTGAGGCAGAAGGGAGGAGAGTCTGAGGACAGCCTGGGCTGTAAGGTAAGAGACTCTGTGCCCCGTGTTCAAAAAAAAAAGGAGAGGAGAAGATTAAGGCTAGGAAATGAGAAAGAATGGTAGAGGAGGGAATATGGGGAGGGATAGCTAATACTAAAGACGTTTGAAAAAGTCATATTGAACTATACTACTGTAGAAGCTTCCTAAAATATATACACATATACAGAATAGTTCAAATGGAATTAGTATACAAGTGTGACAATACAATAACTAGACACTGTGGTGACATACTGTCTATGATTTATTAAAGTCACTGAAGACCAAAATAGCAAAGCAGCTATACTAGCGAGCTATGGAAGCCAGGCAGTGGTGGCACACACCTTTAATCCCAGGACTCAGGAGACAAAGGAATACAGATCTCTCTGAGTTCAGCCACCCAAGGCTACACCAGACTGAATCAGCCTAAAAGAGACAAAGTTGAATCAAGCCTTTAATCCCAGCACTTGGGATTGCACACCTTTGACTCTAGTACTAAGAAGGTAGAGACAGGAACTGAGAGCTTTTCTGCCCGAGGATTAGTGCAGACAGGACCGCCATTTAGGCTGGGGAGAGGTGCGATCGACTGGTCTGGCTGCTTTGCTTCTCTGATCTTCAGCTTGAAGCTTGAACCCCAGTATCTGTCCCTAGGTCTTTTATTCTTGTTACAAGATATCACATGCTACCAAATAAAAAACTCAGTACCAAAAGCAGGATTTCTTTTTGAGTTATTGGGTAGCAGAGTCCTAGAGACATGCCCCCCATTATAACAGGTTATTGTCAGCACTACTGGATACCCTCCAGAACTGTGGCTCAAGTATGTGGATCTTCAGCAGTAGGGTCTCACCATCGTGTTCTGGTATTCAAATGGTTGCTTCATCACTACTGGCTAACGCTTTCACAGTAATGAGGATATTCTGCCTACTCCCAGAGAAAAGCAAGCATCCATCTCTTCAGCTGTGAACCCTGCTACCTACAATAATGACCTGCCCGGCAAGACACGCCCATCAGTGCAGTAGCGGCAGATACTACTTTTCTAAAATTAAGGCCTGCTCCATGAGACAGAACACACACCCAACACTGTCAAGACCAGGAGCCTGTGGCTAGGCAGACCTGTTATACACCAAGGTTAGGAAAACATACTATTATTACTCTGATAAAAGAACATAGCAATAAAATGATCCTAATGACCTATTGCACATCATTTAACTCTTCTAGTAATAGATGAAAATTAAGACAGAGACTCACACAGGTCAATGAGTAGAGAATAAAAGATTCTGGAGTGCTGAGCCCTAAATTGAACATCTGTATCATATCTCTCCCCTCAAGGCTCAGGGATCTAAACCCAAGTGGGGATAGAAAGGGCCAGAGGAGCCGGGCGTTGGTGACACATGCCTTTAATCCCAGCACTCGGGAGGCAGAGGCAGGTGGATCTCTGTGACTGGTCTACAAAGTGAGTTCCAGGATAGCCTCCAAAGCCACAGAGAAACCCTGTCTCGAAAAACAAAACAAAACAAAACAAAACAAAACAAAACAAAAAAAAAAAAAAGAAGAAGAAAGGGCCAGAGGTGGTGGATGACTTTAAGGAAACTTTTCTAAACAACAGGGCAGAGGCACATGGACTCACAACAATTGTGACAGCATGCATAAGACCTACACAAAGTTCGAGCCAGGCAAAAATCCTAGCATGGAGGAGGTGGTGTAGATATAAGCCCCACTGAGGAACTGGGAGCTAATGACATCTGATAGCTCCTAGATGACATCTGATCTGTCAACTGCACCCTAGAGCAAGTCCCATATCCAGGAGTAGTTGGCTAATACAAACTGGACTCAATGAATTTGAGAGACAGAGAACATAAAACTGGGTAGATAAAAAGTGGGGGAAGAATCCCTAAGGAATTGTGGGAAGGACATTGTAGTAGGCATGTATCTTTAACAAGGTAACAGAAGCTAGTTTTTAGGAAGAGTAAGACCAATCTAATTAAACTAATACAATGTAACTTGAAATACCTACCCACCTTCCTTTCTTCCAAATAACTCCTTCAAAATAAAGTCCAAACCAGGCATGGTGGAATATACTTGAAATCCCAGAACAAAGGGGGCAAAGGATAGCTACACATTCAAGGCTAGTCAGGAATATACAATGAGTAACCGGTCAGTCAGGGCTACATAGCAAGACTTCATGCCACCACATTCAAACTAAAATTCAGATTTTGTTTTACCTTCTGGCATCATGGGTGCCTTCGTCAGAGCTCCCAAAGATGATGAAGTTTAAGGTGCCCTACAAGGCAGAGTTTCCCTGTGTAGCCCTGGCTATCCTGGAACTCAGGATGGCCTCAAACTCAGAGATACAACTACTCTGCCTCCTGGGTGTTAAGGCTAAAAGTGTGCCAACATGGCAAAGCATGGCACCATCAAAATTTCTTTCTTGATTTTTCAAGACAGGGTTCCTCTGTATAACAGTCCTGACTGTCCTGGAACTTACTTGTTAGATCAGGCTGGCTTTGAGCTCACCAACTTTCTCTCCCTCCAGAATGCTGGGATTAAATGCATTCACCACTACCATCCAGCCAAAATTTCTTAAAAAACATCTCTCACCCCCAATAAGGTCTCAAGTATCCTAGTTTGGCCTCAAATTTACTATGACCTTGAACTTCTGATCCTTCCTGATTCTGCCTCCTGAAAGCTGGGATTACAATCATACACAACTACATCTAGTTTAAAAGCACTAGGATTGTGCTCAGGGGCTTATGACATTCTAGGCAAGCACTCTTATCAACTGAGCTTGCCCCATCCTGAATGTCATCTTTTTAACAAGCAAAACATTTCCACTTAGAACTGCCAAAAAACTGAGCACTCTGAGAATCTTAGGAAGCATTAGAGATACCTGATCAAGCTTTCTCTGTAATCATTCACACTGCAGTTATAAATAATTCTGGTTATCTATCATAACCATCTTGTTCATTTCAGCAGTAAAATAGCAGTCATACTCTTAGAAACTAGGGTCATAGCACATAACAGAAATAATTGTCCGGTTTAGTTTTGAGTCTTAGCCTTTAACCGCTGAGCTGTCTTTCAACCTTAATTGACATTCTTAAAATGAAAACATCTGTAAAGCAATGATTTGCAATATAAGGGGAAGGTAGGGAAAAGACAAGGGGAGTCTTTATTAAACATCCCAATTCTGCGCCGGGCGGTGGTGGCGCACGCCTTTAATCCCAGCACTCAGGAGGCAGAGGCAGGCGGATCTCTGTGAGTTCGAGGCCAGGCCAGCCTGGTTTACAGAGCAAGTTCCAGGACAGCCTCCAAAATAATACAGAGAAACCCTGTCTTGAGAAACAAACAAACAAACAAATCCCTATTCCACCAATCCAATGTAAACTCCCAGAGAGAATAGCAATGTTTTAAAAATTCAATTTTTACCAGCTAGTTGGTGGTGGCACACATCTTTAATCTCGGCACTTGAGAGGCAGAAGCAAGAAGATCTCTGTGAGTTCGAGGTCATCCTGGTCAACAGAGTAAGTTCCAGGACATCCAGGGCTACACGGAGAAACCCCTTCTCACAAAACAAAACAAACAAACAAAAAAGTTGGCAGTCAAAGCTTGGCAAAAATACTCCTCCCAAGTAGCCTTTTCCATCTTTCTCTCTACAAAGAAAGATTCTGTGCAATGTAATGTGAAAGTTAAGAATACAGACTTTAGAGTCACACAACAACCGAGGAAATCCTGCCATTGTACATTGTGTGATCTAGGGAAATATTCTCAGTGCCTCAAAGGCTGTCTACAATGTGAAAGTCAAAAACAGAAATTATACTTTAAGCAGCTGCTCTGAACATTAAATGCATGAAAAGCTACTAATAACAAAACCTTACTGTTATAATTAATTATAAAATCTTTCAAGACACATCCTGATAGTAGAGCTAGTCATTCCTTTTTCATATCTCCCCACAGCATCTTCTATTTCTACATCACCAAAAACACACTACCTATTTTCCAATTTAAATATTTTATTTTATATGCATGAGTGTTTTGCCCGTGTGCGCGCGCATGCA